TAATCCTCTCCCACTCCTTTTGGTTCAGATCTGGTTCAGTTTATGGTTCAAGATTGATCCTTGAAAATATGATTTTCTAAATAGGGAATACGATTCCCAGTTGAAGGAAGAGATAAAATTTTTGAAATTCGCCCCTTATTCCGCAATCTTTTGGGCGTCCATAGGATGGATCTCTCATCCCTTCAGGTAGCAGCAACCATCCAGCTAAAGGTGAATTTGCATTGGTAATTTATGTATTATCTACCTATCTTTTCAAAAGCTTCTACATTGGGATGATAAGCATATTTGGTTTTTTGATAAAAAAGAAATCTTCTATGTCATTAACTATCTGCATATTTTGTGGCAAAATACCTAGCAATTTCTCAGTCTGGATGAGCTGGAGGCAAAAACATACACACCCGGCTGAATTACTATCACGGTCCAGGAGTTTCCTCTGGAAAAGTTATGTTAATGCAGTGATAGTCAGCGAAAATCTCTTCAAAAGGAAAATTGTAAATAGTCCTCAATGCAATCAGGATATTGAATCAGTCCTTCATGCCTTATGCTTGTGTGAAGTAGCAAAGTGCTATTGATTTGGAAGTTTCTTGAGTCTAATAAGCCAACAGATTGTTGGTTCCCTTAATTTTAGAGACTGGTTGAAATCCTGGCTCAAAACCTATATTTCCTACAGGAAAAAAGGAAATATATACCATTAATGAAAACAAAATTACCCACTGTACACTAAACAAATTACCCACTGTGTACTGTAGCTTGAAAACAAAATGAGTCTACTAAGCCCATCAGAATCCAGCAGAAATCTCTATGATGTAGATCTTTTTCTCACCGGTTTAATGGGAAGGGCCCCCCCAAATGTCCAATAAATAGACCATGAACACCTAAACTGATCAAGCAGAACACTCAAAAAAATCTTTGGCCTCGAGGTGGCAAATGGATGGATGAGGTTCATATTGGATGTCGGTTGAAGGTCAACCCGTCAACCAACCATTAATGACCCATATTTTAAATATGTACAAAGGGTTACAACCCAACCTAAAGTTGATTAAAAAAAAACCATTAATGACCCATATTTTAAATATGTACAAAAGGTTACAACCCAACCTAAAGTTGATTAAAAAAATCCAGAGAATGAGCATAGACATAGAGGAGAGGAAGAGAGAGGAAATAATTTAAAAAGAGAAACTGATATAAGAGGAATGAATACTTAGGAGAAAAAATATAGTTGACCTAAATAGATATGCGTAATACAACCTAACCCAACCCTTTTGCTTGACCTAATGGGTTAGTTACTCATAAATCCATTTTAAAAAAAAAAAAAAACTTAAATGCCCCAAGTTTTAGTCCAGTACTCATCTAAAACCGACTTTACCTGACTGAAGCCAAGTCTTGTCGGGGTTTAGCAAATTTGAATCTCCGGCTGCTTGGCTTGGGTTTGATCTTGAAACAGGCTAATAGGCTACATGCCTATATGTTCAGTTCAAATGTTTGTATCGACCCTGGGCCTAATAAAACCGGCTTGACTTGCAGTAGTTCAAATCATCCTTGACCCAGATGGTCAGATTGTTTGGCCTATAAACCGTTCAGGCAATCAATTCCGTTTCACCCCTGACTCATGTTTTTGCTAAAATTAAAACTATTGATTTGGTTAGATTCAGAGACCCATTGATCCCAGTGATTGAACCATTGATCCATTTGACTCGGACAATGATTTTTTATCTTTTTGCAATGAACCATCCATTCGGACCAGACACTCGAACCATTGACTTGAAAACCAGTAGCCAAAGTGGTTTAGGGTTCAATTTTTAAAACATTAATCCAACCATATAAGCAAAACAACTGGTAAAAAAAAATAAACTGTCATGCCGATCCAGGTCTTTTTAGTCTAATTAGTCTCGTAAAGTCTTGAAGCTTTTCCTGTTTGCGACTGTTAAAGGTCAGGTGCACATTGAAATAAGATCGATGCATCATGGCAAAGAAGAAGATGGCATGAGACCAGTTTGGTCCAAATTAATTGAAGTCCGAAACCATCTCATGGAAGCAGGGCATAACATAACTGTAGCTAAGTTAAAGTTTATGATTTTATTTTATTCACTGAACAAACGATAATGTGCCAGAGAGAGAGAGAGACCCAATCAGCCACTAGAGACGACGACAAGTACGTAAATTAAATGAGGTAGCTAGCTAGACTCATTTTCCTAACAGGAATGACTTCTCCAATATCCACGACGCAGCTGTGAGAGAAGACAAGAGAATAATAATGCAACCTGTCTCTAGACTCTAGCTAGTAGCTCTTTCTTGTCATGGAAACAATCACATTATCATACGTGGTTCTATTTGTGGACATGTAGTCAGTTACAATGTGGCTATACCTTCGAAATAATTCATCCATTATCTCCCTTCCAAAATGATTCGCAAGCATGGACTCGACCACGGCCCGTATGGTCTTCACTACGCGGTGAGCACCATTCAGATTATGATCAATCAACATTCCATTTCTTGCTTGATTATTGCAACTACCTCCATCCCACTCAACCTCAAGGATGTCTAGGCGATCAACCATGAATGACCCTTCTCTTTCTATGGCAGCTTTTATTTCTTCACCACTGGGTGCGTAGTAGGGAGCGTTAAACCTATCCAGCTTCTCTTCTTCAACAATACCCTGTCAAAACTAGCTAGCAGCTGTTATTTCCACTGTTCCTTCTATTCTCTACACCACATTAATTTAACGAACATGATGAACAAATTCAATTAAAAGAGAAAAAAAAAAAAAAAAAAAGCTACATGGGCCTTAACCAAAGATCAAGACTTTACTTCCAAACGAAAAACAGCGATAAACAAAGACCCCACAGATAGAACCCGACAAGACAAACCAAAAAGGCCCAAGAAAAGCCCGGGCCGGCCCCAACTAGCATTTGGAAATGCGCTGTTAAATCCCTTTGGGTGTTGTTTCCTGACCTCGGTGTTCAGGTGTGTAAAGATTGTAATGTGAATGTCTGGAATTTATCGTGGGTTCATTCCAAAAGTAAGTTTTTTGGACCCATCGGTCGTCCAAGAAAGATGGCTGATCGAGGTATTCAGGTTAATAAAGGATCTTGTAGATATATGGTTCAGGCTCTTGGAGTAGAGAAAAATCAAATCAACTTTTTGGGCCAGCTAAAGTTCAGGCAATTTTAAACATTATATTTTTAGGAGGAATGTGTCCAACAATTTTCTTTGGTTGGGTTCTCCTAATAAGGAGAAATTTTCTCTCTAGGATTTTTATTATCCTTTATGGATGAAATTTAGTGTAAGGTTGGAGGGGAGGCAAGTGAGATTTATTAAGAAAATCTGCAAGTTGAAAATTCCTCCTAAATTTAAGCTTTTCTTTTGGAGATAAGTGAGAAATTTTGTCCACACAAAGATTAGATTAGCCGAGTTTGCTTTAAATGTTGACTGTATGTGTTCTCTTTGTAATGCTGTGGAGGAAACTATATTATCCTCCATTTGTTTTGCTTTTGTCCTTTTGCTATGGCAATGTTATTTGCCTCTCTTTGGAGTATTAAAATTCTTGAATCCAACTTAATTTCCTTCTTTAAATAGTGCATATATGCTTTTGAGGTTGGAAATTACTCAAGTTGGATTGCAGTACGTTGTTTTCTGTTCTGTGTGGTATTCCAGGAATTGTGTAATTTTGAATAATGAAGCTAAGCCGGTTTAGTGGGTGAGTGGTGGAATCTGCTAGGAGATCTAATTTTTGTGGAAATTGATGGGTTGAATTCTGTTTCTTATGTTTCTTCGGCTGAGTTAATATCACGTTTGCCCAATTTTGATTCTTCCATGTTTAGTCTGTTTGATGTAATCATCAAGTGTGATGGGGGTGTCTGTAAAAAGGGTGGTTTGTTGTTTGGTTTGTGTATCTATAAGAATGCTAAGGCTTCTTTGTTGGCTGTAGGTGGGAGGAAGAACTTAATTGGCTGGAAATGATGTAAAGGCTGAACTTTTGGCGATATTTCATGCCCTTGGAGCTGGCGGAAAAAGAAGAATTAGAAGAAAGTTTTTGTTTTGTCTGATTCCAAAAACGTTATGAGCTGGTTTTTTGAATTTTGGTTCTCTATAGTTCTCTTGGACTGATACTAGCTTGGTCGATGAAATCCTAGCTCTTAAATCTTTCTTTGACTATCTTGAGTTTGGTTTTATTTCTCGCGCGTCATTGTAATAGTTTAGCTCAGCTGGCTAAGCTGTCTGTTATGGATTTGTTTTTCTGGGATAAGCCCTCCCGCCTGTTTTGAACCTTCAGTTCTGGTTGAATTGTTTCATCAAAAAAGAAAAAAAGAGTACTTAAAGAATTTTAAGTAGACCAAAATATTTTATATTATTTAATTTACAATTAAAGAACGGTTAAATGACGTGAAGGAAATTGGGAATAAATATTCTCTATGTTAGTATATATTACTACTCTGAAGTAGTCTGAACCTAACAAATAAGCCATCCAAATCACCAAGAGAAATAAGATAATAAACAAACCTCGATGACCATATTCTGTAAGGCTTGCGCTAAGAATTCCCACTGGTGGCAATTCTTCTCGGTAGAGGGGTCTGTAGTCCTCCTACCCATGAAAGAAAGGACCATACGGCCTCCCGGCACAATTTCCTCAGAACGTGAATTCAGAAACGATGTGAAATCCTGCTGGAATTGCAGAGCGTATGCGCTTAAGACACCAGGTGGGCTTGTTTTAGATATGAAGAGCTTCCCCTTGTTTAATGGTGGACAAGTTTTGCTGTCGAGACCTGGTGGGACCTGCACAAGAAACGAAGAAATCCTCCATCGATCAACGAACAGATAAGAAAATTTTCCCTTTAATCATATCAAATCAAATAAAGAAATTAAAGCAGGTCGAGGCCCGAGGGACCCAAGCGATCCAACACCACCGGTTGTGTCGAAGAAAGCAGCAATAAGCCTTAACGTTGTTCAGATTTCAGAATTCAGATTCGCGTAACGGAAGGAACAGATTCGTAGTAATGTCAATGTGTGAGCTAGCTGTACGCCTGTATATTGGTGTTTTACTACTGTTACTTGTGTACGTACTGCGTACAGTAGACTACTACTATCTAACCTGAGAAAGCCAATGGAGACTTGACGAAGAATGCACAAAATGAAGGCTTTTTCTTGGAAATAGCCTTCCGTAAAAAGAACCCGGCACCCCAGCGACAAAGCATGGCCCAACTCCACTCCCCTTGTCTTCCTTGAGAGTATTATAGAACGCTGGCAAGGACCTAAACAGAGTGTTGTAGTCGTTCAAGGGAAGATCGTTCAAGAACACCAGGAACTCCGGTGGTGGACAACCCATCTGGCAGCATTTCCGGCAGACGGTGTCCATTATCTCGGAGACCAACAATAAGGTATTGGGTCCTGATGAACATCCCAAATCCGCGATGCCGAACCTCTCAGGAGAGTTGGTGCAATAGAAATCGAGTACAGCTTCCTCTATTATGGGCTTCCCTATGGACATGATTTTCTTCTGTAAAAGATTAAAACTAACAGAGTTAAAAAAGTAAAAAACAGATAGATGGTCGTTGAAGTGAAAGAATCATGATCATCACAATAAACTTACCATATTCACAAGAGTAATTACGTACAACACCAAATTCAAAAACTTAAAAGAGTCTAGAATCTAACCTGGACCATTGAATTCTTAGCATAACTAGTCTCTCCATTCCCTTCGTTCATATGCAGGACTTGCATTACGTCCATCTCTCTGTCTCTCTCTCTCTCTCTCTCTCTCTCCCTGAATCTGTGTGTATTCACACTGCAAATTTCTAAGGGGCGTGCTTGTATATATAGGAACCTAGCGAAGTAACAAGACGCAATAAAAGAAGTTCCAGATCCTCTGAATTGAAAAGAAAAGATAGAAATTCTTGCAAGTAGAGGGGTGGGAGTGGGTCGGCTGAAGCAGGTTTTAGTGGTTGATGATAGGCGACTTAACATGGAGGGAATTCCGAATGTACAGACCCCACCTACAACGGGGTGAAGCTCCTAAAGCGAACGTCTGGCCCAAGTATAATTAAGTTGATGGTGGAAATTTAGAAGAGTTTAGAGGAATAAAGGAATAATTATGTGAAGGTGCATGATACTCAAATATGAAATATAAATCATGCATGCACCGACAGCGTGGCTTAATTATAGTGAATCTGGCCTTTTCAAAATCCTCCTCAGACGCTAACCATCCAAACAAACAAAACATTTCTGTACTACAGTTTACACTTCCACATGAAACAGCCATTCTGATGCATGCTCACGTAACCAACATATTATTGACAAGGGAAATTATCTTAAACTCATTATGAGTTTTTAGCATTTCTCTTAAACTCAAGTCTGGACTCCACTAATAAAATAATGATAAACAAACACTCCCTTGGGGCAAATAGTACACCACCCATGAACTAGCTAGGCTATCTCTCTATGGTTTGAAGTTTGAGCCAAGTTTTCTACGTGGCAACGGTGGTACCTGGTGGTTGGAGCAAAGGGGTCCATTAGGCTTTGTTTGATTTATGGGAAGATTTGGGTGGGATGGGATGGGAAAGTGTAAAAATTTAACTTTCCAATGACCGGTTTTACATGGAAAAATAGAAGGAAAATTATCCAAGACAAAATAGAGGTCTCGAAGGTTCAATCCGCCCTCATCACCGGTGAATGCCTACCAACGTCATCAACGATGTTACCAGCAGCGGAAGATCTATTTCGTCTTCTACCTTCTGCCACTGCTGGTTTCTTGCTGGTGCCGATAGAACGACGTCCTTTCTTACTCCAAGATTCGACCATCAGAGAGTGTCAATATGTTGTCGACGACTAATGACGTTCGAGTGATTGGAGATGTTTCTTGCAGACTTTCCACCGTGACAGCATAGGGAGAAGAAAGCAACAAAAAAACAACAACTAGCATCGTTCATCTCAAGGTACTCTCTGGGAAAGACTCAGAGAGAGAGAGAGAGAGAGAGAGCGTTTAACGAACGATCCCTCTATAGATATTGGAAAATAGGAGAAACTATGGTGCTGAGATACTTAGCAATAATCGAGAAAAAGCCTCTACCTACCTATTCTATCCAGTATTTTGACGGTGGAAACTCTGGTGCTGCAAAATCGGATTTTGACGGTGGAGCTAGTCTCTGTTGGATCAAAGCAAGTTTAATTTCGTCTTTTTGGTCTTGCTGTATTCTTGTTGTGCTCGTGTTGTTTCTGTTACTGTTTTAGACATTCAAACAAGTGCTTTTCCATCGGAGGTCTTGCCCGGGTTTCTTTACTTGGGCAGCTATGATAATGCGTCTCTAGCCGAAGGGAGAAGACAAAACCAACAGCGGCAGATCTATTACTAGCAGCGGCAATTACCAGCATATGCATGAAGGAGGATGAAGACGAACTGTTACTGACAAATCTGTTACTGGAGGTGGTGGCGATTACCAACAGTGGCGACGAGGATGAAGACAATCTCGAGTTTTTCCACCGGGGTTGCGCGGTTTTGGTGTGACCCCGAATCCTTGATTTTGGGATCTGGCATCCCACCTTTTTCTCATCCCATCCCACTCTTTTCCTCAAAACAAACATGAGGAGTATTCCCTTTTTCTCATCCCCATCCCACAAACAAAATAGAGCCTTAATTAATTTCTGTAACAAGATTTTCTAGATATCATTATTCTAATCCTCACCATCCCTTTTGGTTTTGGGCAACTAGATGAGCAATAACTTTTAAGTCTCTTGGGTAAAAAACAGCATTGACAAATAATAAAGTCATTATAGAGGTTCTTAATTTCTATACCCATTTATAAAAATGAAGATGATGACAATATTTCGTCAAAGAGCCTGATTTTTTACTTTCCATTTTTACCCTTTATCATGTTTTTTTTATTTTAAAGCTTGATTTTCACTTTTTGCTTTTACCCTTCATTATGTTTTTTATTTTTCCAATTTTATTTAATTAACGGTTAACACTTGTAATTGGATAATCTTTCTATTATTTATAAAAATAAGGGCAGTGATAATGTTTCATCAAAAAGCCCAATTTTTACTGTCCATTTTTACCCTTTATCATGTTTTTAATTTTAAAGCTTGATTTTCACTTTCCATTTTTATTCTTTTTTATGTTTTTATTTTTTTTCAATTTTATTTAATTAACAGTTAACACTTGTAATTGGATAAAACAAATAAATTAATAATAAGACTATTGTGGAACCTACTCCTTGCCTTATCTGATCTTCTCCCGAAGCACCTACCTGATGAACTTCTTTATTGATTAGAGCCAACACATGTCAAGTATTGGATGGTTTTCCCAAACCACGAATTTGAATTTAAGGGAAGAATGGATTTTTTCAACCTCTCTCTTTTCATCATGGAACAATCAATTAGATGATTAAATGAAGCTTTTTTTTGTTTTCTCCCTATTTTTTTTCAATTGTCTCCGTTAACGTAATAAGTTGTATTGGATCAAGAAATGCTCTTTTTAGGTTCATTATATTGATTCGTCTTAGGGTGTTTTTTTCTTAACGATCATCAGGTCAATCCAGTAATTTGACACCCTACCAACGTAATATCATATGGGTTGTACTTGGTAAGGCCATAGGGGTTTGGAATGCATTTTGTTGGCAAGAGATCCAAACTCTTCTATATAAGTCAAACGGATGTTCGATTCAAATCTGAATATAAATGAATCAAAATCAACCTATATCCTAAAGCTAGCTCTTAGATATGCAAATAATGACCCCACCATTGACAAGTAGAATGACATAAGGCAAAAGGCCAAATGTTATCATTCACACATGAAGCAAATACATAAATTCTAAAACCTCAGTTCTCTCCTTTAAACCCTTCTTTGCATAGTGTATATCTTATACTTTCCCCTACTTTATAGTAGGAAGGAGGAAGCAGAAAAGGTGTCTCTCTTATCCTACGCACATTTCTCCTCAAAATAAAGAAAACAATATAAATTACAAAAAAAAACAAAGAAATACACAAAAAAATTACAAAAAAAATATAAAAAATCATAAAAATTTCTATACCATACTAAAAAATGAGAATGTTGCAACTAGATTGGTCAAAACACCCTAATTTTACTTTCCAACTTTACCCTCAACTTTCTATTTTTTTTCCATTTATTGTCATTGCAAAATAATTATGAAAACATAAAATGAAGAAAACAATATAAATTACAAAAAAGCAAAGAAATACATAGAAAATTTACAAAAAATATAGAAAATCATAGAAATTTCTATATCTATACCATACTAGAAAAATGAGAATGTTGCAATTGGTTTGGTCAAAACACCCTGATTTTACTTTCCAACTTTACCCTCAACTTTTTATTTTTTCCCATTGTATATATGTCATTGCAAAATCATTATAAAAAAACACATAAAATGAAGAAAATAATATAAATTACAAAAAACAAAGAAATTGAGAGAAATTTTACAATATATATATATATATATATATAATTATAAAAATTGAAGAAAAAACATAAATTGCAAAAAAGAAAGAAAACCATAAATTATAGAAAAATGAACAAAAAATTGTAGAATAGAATAAAAATTTATATCTACTACCACAAATAAAAAATGAGAATGATTCAGTTAGTGTGGTCAAAAGACCTTGGTTTTTCATACTAATTCTACCCCTTAGTTTTTTGGTCATTCCGACATATCCTAATTCTATATGGCTTTAGGTTAGGTTTTTACAAAACAGGAGATCGGTTAAGAGTGGCATATCCTATTCTCCATAAATTTTGTGTTTCATTAGGATGAATTGTATTGTATATAATGTTGTTGAATGTAATTTTATCATTGGTTTGGTACATTAATGTTTCAATCTGATGCATTTGCAACCAACATTATATGCATATTATAAACTTTAGATCTTGGCATTTTGTGAGGATAGTCTTTTTTATGTATTATATACTTGTCTTAGGACTTGAACAGCATGTGAACTTTCATCTATGCTTGAGATATAAAAGTATTGTCATACATCACCATCAATATCAAATACCCGTACACTACATGGGCCATTACACTAGTTCTCTAAAAATCAAACTATATATTTGCGACCAAATATCATATACATTAACCGTACTAAGATTTTTTTTTGTTTTTTCATAAAATTAAATATTTTAAATTTTTTATTATCTATTTTTATATACATTATGCTTATACTACATATCATAAGAAAGTGTGAATAATTTATTAAGTTGCAAGGATGAGAAGAACCAAGAATAGGTCGATAATAGTGAGAAATGATTTAAGCGTTCATAATTTAATATTAATATATATCACTGAATAGAATGGAATGATAAACAAAACTTATATGTATTTTTTTAATCCCAAAATTTACTCCTGATAGAGGGGTGACTATCATAAATTTTATTAATTTAAAAAGAAAAGGGTCTAAATTTAGGGGACATAAACACCTTACCCCAAAAAAAAACTAGGGAGAATGACGGTTCAGCCTAAGCATTTTTAGAGTGGGGGTTTTTGATATTCTGAATGTTTATAGGTCTGCAATGGAATTCAGAAATCTTCATTGGGCCTGTCCATACTTTTCCGAAAAAGCTATACAAGGCATGTCAACTTTTTGCAAAAGAAAATTAATTTAATAGACTTGGAATATAAAGGTTGCCACTTAACAAATAGTTACTACAAAAGGTTGGTAGTTCTGTTTTAGAACTAAACAAAATTTATATGGTAGTTCTGTTTTGAAAAACCAAACAGGACTGGACAGTCGGACCAGTTGACCTGGAA